GATAGTAGGCCCTTTTGTGGCCCCTTTGATTGCACGTAAAGAAAATCATATCAAATATCGAGGTGATGGTGGTGGTAGCAATACAATCCCTGCTGACATCACCAGTCCGGCCACACTTGAAGCAGCTAGAACCGCCCACCCTACACGTCCTCTTGTGCGACCTGCCACACTTTCCGCAGTGGCATCGGCCATAATGGACCTCCCCTCTCGAATCCACCACCTTGGGCCTCTTGGCTGAACCCTCAAAGCTGGACATAGAATCTGGCTTCCTCTTCTTCTCCATCTCCAGATGAAGCTCCCTCTCATTATCCCTCACTATCATGTCTTCCAGCGTCTTACAGTTGGATCAGCTAACAAACTACCGAATATCACTCCTCAACATCTCATGGTACTGGGCCTTCTTCATCTCCTCGTCCGCCACATACTGCGGAACCATAAGTGTCCTCTCCCTGAACATTAAGGTGATCTCAACCACCGTCTCAGTAGTCTGGCAGAGATCCTGGAACTCTCACGCTAGCTGTTGCACCTCAATTACCAGTGCAAACTCGGCTCGGAACCTGGTCGAGAAATCACCCCAATTCATTGAATCAATAATAGCATCATCTCTGATAACACGCTCTACCTCCTCCCACCAATCACACGCCCTATCCCTCAAGAGGCAAGAAGCTAGCCTGACCTTGTCCCCATTGGGACAACGGCTGGTACGGAAGGCGTTAGCAACATCTGGTAACCACTTGTTGCTCGCAATGGGGTCCCTCGCCCCATGATAATCTGGCGCTCCACATGCCCAAAACTCCCTGAAGGTCAAAGAGTGTGTCTCGACCAAAGCCACAATCTCGGCGCAAAAGGCGCTCAACCACTCATCAAGAATCTCCAGAATACCCTCCTTAATTGTGCTAAAGATCATAGGAGTTGCTCAAGGATACTGCATGTAATCTCAGACGAGATGAACTCCCTCGTCGGGTAATCAAGCTTCTTGGCTCCAGAACCCGAGGCCGAGCCCTCACCAATACCGGAATTGTCAACTGGTCTGCCTCGCAATACCACCATACTGAAAATAGTCCAATGCAAACTATTAGATTACACATTAAAATATAAAGATTGGGAAATCACAATGCTACAAGCTTCCCGGCTTTATCTCATCCCTTCTTGAATTGAGAACTGATCCTCTGCTTCCAGTAATACGGTCCCATACTACCATCTACATCTATCCACACTTTCCTTAAGAAGTGCCTTAACTCATCCAAGTTACCTTATATCCAATAATTCCTTCACAACTAAGGCTCCAAGCACTAAATCTTATCCTAGGTTTTCCGAGGGTAAACTCCACACCACTCTCCACCATCAGCCGCAGAAGGAACTCCTTCTAACTTCCTCTAAATAGCCCACATATACAATTACATATTACAAAAAGTAGATAATTCTTCGAATGAGAGGTTTCACACTACAACGGTTAGACTCAAACAAGAGCTGCGCAATATGGTTAAAACCTAACCTTCTAAAATTATTTATTTTCGATAATATGTAACTTAGCATATTCGTTTACCAGTTGGTTGAAGCTAGTTAGAACTCCTAAAAGGACAAAGCAAGCAACATTCGAGCATCAAGTAACCAGGACCAAGCATATCCTAATCAAGCCATCCTATTACTAACTGTTCAGTACTAGCATGCAAGTCTATAAGCTCATCCAGCCCGCATACAAAGGCATCTCTCTTTGATCCTTAGCCCTAATCTAGCATGCAATTCACAGATTCACAATTCAAAACATATCACAAACATGTATGGGTATTTTGGGTAAACTTACTTGATCTCGACTGATTGCATGCACCACACCCTTTCTTATTTTAGAAAAACCTTTTCTTTAACATATGTTTCTTTTTGAAAACTTGTACAAATCCTCAGCTTGAGTTCAGGCACACCCGAGAGCGTGCCCGAATCCCTCAGACCAAGGCTCTGATACCAACTTGTAACATCCAAAAATCATGACCCAAAAATATCATTTTGATTTAAGTAAAAACAATATTCCAAATAATGGTTCATACAACCCAAGAAAATAATATATCAAACATCATGAAAACCAGAGTATGTCCCATAAACAGAATCCATATGGTGTATGTGATGCAGTCAATCCGAGCTCTTCCCCTTGGAACCGAATGTACCTGAAACATAAACTAAACCGTAAGCACAAAGCTTAGTTAGTTCTCCAAAATACCACATACCAAATATATCATATAACAGGCCCCACCTAAATGAGATACGAGCCCCACCCACAGTCGAATAATAGTAAGATATGGGCCCCGCCCACACTCAGATAATAATGAGATATGAGTCCCACCCATACTCATATAATAGTGAGATACGGGCCCCACTCACACTCGAATAACGGACCTCACCCAATAAACATACATATACAAGTACATATAAATATCACACAGACAACAAGTATAATAACATAACCAAACGAGGGCCGGCCTTGGTGCCTTAGACATGTTGAACCAGTAAGGAAACTCACCTCGAATGTTGAATGATAGTTGAATAGGTCCCGACTCCGAATATCAACTCTACCTAACTCCTAAACAGAAACAATTCCTTAGATACAACTCCAAATACCTCAATACCCCCCCCCCCTTTATAGGTCAAACTTGGTCAAAGATGAAAGTCAAAAGTCAAGGTTAACAACCCATGTTGACCCAACACGTCGTGGTTCCTTTTGACCACGCCGTGTTTCCTATTTATCGATACAAGTGGGAAAATCCCACCCAGCTTACCGTGTTTACTCGAAAACACGTTGTGTTTCCTCGAGCTCCAACAACTTAGTATATTAAACCATTTCCTTCGATATCAAGAGTCCCAACCTCAAATCTGGACTCAAATGAAAAGTTAGAAAGCTAAAGTTTCAAACTTTACCCATAAGGATCACTAAAAAGGGTCCAAAACCCAAACCCTAAGTCTTAAAAGCAAAAGACTTAATCCAATAAGCACTTAACTCATGAGTCCAAGCCCCAAAACACAGATCTGGCCTAATTAACCTACAAAATCACGTAAAGTTGCCAATTTTACGTTTGTGCATTCCTAAAAGAAGCTCTTAATCTCAAAAAGAAACTTAATGCATGTATGGGACCAATTCTTCATATAAAGCTTGCAACTTTAAGCATAAGAAGGCCAAGACAAACTCAGAACTGAAATGTCAGGTCCTCAAAACGACCAAACTCCTCCAACCACCCAAAAAATGGAACAAGGAGATCTAAACATCTAAAGATTAAGGTTCAAACTTGATACCTCAAGGAGACTGCTACAAGTGGTGAGATTCTAGATCTAAAACCTTCCTTCCAAGCTAGGCTCCTTCAAACTCCCAAAACTCCTTCAAATGAGCACAAGAATCTTCAAAAACACCACCAAGAAAGCTCAAAACTCGGTTTAGGGTTTCATGTAACAACGGAGGCTGGTGAGGAGGTCGGTCAAGGGGACTTAAAGCCTTTAAATTAGGGTTTCCTTCCCAGCCGCCAACACGTCGTGTTGTGGCACCTCAACACGTTATGTGGGCTCATTAAAGTCTGCGGACAAGGACATCTCGGCATGCCGGGTTGAGGCTCCAACACGTTGTGTCCCAAAGGAAAAGCATAGACATATTGGAAATAAATTTATACCGAAAATCAAGCATTACACTTGTACCCATGATCAAGTTATATTAGATTATCGATGAACCATCAATTGTTTATGTGTTATATAGTTAAATATTTGAATTAGATCACAAACCACGATTAAGTGACAGTAAAATCTTTAACAAATGTAAGCAAACAAAACATCAGAAAAACATTAAAAAACGTATTCAAATATAACATCAAAAAAAAATAATAATAATAATTAACGTCAAAAATAAATGTTACATACAAAATGTCAAATAAAAAAAATTAAGCGGTTTATTTAAATAATATATCAAAATAAAAATTTCTCTAAATAAAAAAATCTATACATAAATTAATAAATTAAATAAAACCAATAATAAATAATATAATTACAATAAAGAAATTAGTTTAAATTATAAATAAATAAATAAATAAATAAATAACATAATAATTATATATTGATTTGAATGAAATGGCATAAAGTGGTTAAGAATTTTTTTGTAAGATTAATGGGGGTTTGTTTACGAAACCTTAAGAGGGTTTGGTGTGAGCAATGCCCGTAATCGTTTTTTTGAGGTGGCATCCTAAAAACACAGTGACCATAGGGGGAGAACCGTTTTTTGGTATTATGTTGTTTCCCGTGGTGCCGGTAACGAAGGGCAACACCCGTTTTGTTTTCTGCATCCCTTTCTTTTTTTGCTTTTCTTCTTCCTCTCAACGGCGTTCTAAAAAAGTAACACTATCCCCTTGGAGATGTTATGGAGAAAAGATGATGAATCATCATCCCGAAAATGTTGCCCACACCGGACGGCTTAAATAAGTAGCCCCTATTGCTTTGCATTTAGGCCCTAACTAATTTCACTTACTTACTTTTGGTATAAAATATAGTTAATCGCGTACATTAACATGTATAACATGTAAGAAAATCAAGTCTCTTGTGCGTGTTATGTGATGGCATTCTCGACCAAAAAACCTTGAGCTTGAAATTCGACTCGAGCCTCAATTCAGACTTGGGTTTGAGCTCGATAAAACAATCGACACTTTTGACGTGAGTGATTCCTAATTGGGGAATTTGTAACATATTAGTAAATGTGCTTAAAGAGTTGTCATTTACCCAATAATATGATTCCAAATTAACACAATGCCTTTACCAAATATGGGTAAACAAATAAACCCAATAACCACACACAACAGCTTTAATCAAGAAAACAAACAAAAAGCATCACAGAATAACAACACCATGCCATTGCCAGTCATTCAGACTACATTTCATTTAAATCATGAAAAATACAATGGAACAAAAACAAACAAGATTAGAATATAACACTAAGAATCTTCAATGTGTGCTTTTGTAAGATAAATGAATAAATCGCCCTAATCAATCTTAACTGATGAAAAAAGATAATGAACAAAATAAAAAGACGCGACAAACCCAACTGTCCCAGTAGACAACAAAATCGCAACCGCAATAATCAAAGAATACCCAAGATAAAGTATCGCAGACACGGGCCCACTCAAACTCTGAAGCTCAAAAACCAAATAATTTATCGAATACAAAAAAACATAAACCGAAACCGAACCCGAAGCAAAAAAGGCCTTCCACCACCACCCCCAATCCTCCACACACAAATGCATGTAAGTCAAAACAACCGCCACCTCAGCACACACAACAACCAACAACAAAAGCACCACAAGCAAAAACCCGAAAACATAGTAAAATCTCCCAAGCCAAATACTCGAAAGAATAAAAAAAAGCTCAATAAAAAGAGTGCCAAAAGGTAAAGTCCCCGCCCCCAAAACAAGTAGCCACGAAGGGTATTTTCTCTCCGGGATTTCCCGAGCTATTTGGTTAGTCCGAACCGGGTATGTTAACGGGTTGGGTCGGGTCGCTAAATACCCGCCCAATAAAGTCAACGGAACCGATGTGCAAAACCATAACGAAAAAAGAATGAAGTATAACGAGATCGGAATCGCACCCGTACTATTACTCCCCCAAAGAATGAAATTCAAAATGGTTAGAATGGTAAAAACGATTCCGGGGAAAAAACACGAAATTGACCAAGATACCCCTTGCCATCCATCCGATGTCGATTTTACAACGCGCCATAGGTAAACTCCGGAATAGCCGGCTCCGGTTCCTAAGAAGACGTAGAGAACTATCATTCCGGTCAAAAGCATGCCACGTGAAGCCGGAGACATGAATCCTAACGCGGCGAATACGATCGTTACGAATGCCATTCCGGTGATTTGGATTCCGGTTCCGATCATGACACAGAGAAGTTTGGAATTCGTTGGTTCGCGAAACACGTCGCCCACCACGAGTTTCCATCCGGATAACTCTTCGTTCATCTGCGCTTGTGATTCTTTATCTAAATCTTCGTATCGCGTGAGATCGCGTCTCACGGTTCTTAAAAATATAACAAAAACAATTCCCGCCAAAAAAACAATCACCATTAACGAATTAAGAATCGAGAACCAATGAACACGCGATCCTTCCATTTTTAAATACGCATCCCATCGCGAAGGCCATTTGATGTCACTTTTTATGAACTCAACCTCATAAGTAAAAGAAACTCTCTCTTGTTCTCTTATAACTTGTAGCTTTTCAATCTCCATTGAACAATCCATGGACGCCACGTCATCGTATTGATGAAGTTTCGACATTTTTTCATCGTACTTAACGCTACACGGGAAAACCTCGAACCCGACAATTTCGTATCCGGAAGCTTTCTTTTCGTCATTTGTGGATGAAATTACGCCCATGCCCTCCTCCCCTGTGCCAAAGATTTGTGCGCTTGTGCCTTCGTATTCATGTACATAGACTTTGAACTTAAGGTGATTGATGATGTAATCATTGTCACTATTTGGAGGTGTGTATCCGATTGGGAAACCAGTCCATTGAACTTTGTTACCATTTTGGTTTGCGAATCGCATTGCGGGTAGGTTATCAAGAATCATGTTGACTTGATATAAATCACGGGTTCTTTGTTTAAGAAGTTTGACTTCGTGTTCGGTCAACGGGTGTGTTGTGCATAAAAAGATTGATTCATTGATGTTCATACGAAAACGATAAGGGGAGTTATCGATTTGGTCTCCCATTAAAAGTTCTCCTAAATTTTCTGCACTTTTTTTAATCCCTCCTGGAGGTGTGCAGTATGGGAGACTATAATAACTGAAGGGTAATTCTGTCTCGATTGATGTAAGAGAGTTGACTTTGGCAAATATTTCATCGTGTGTTGAATAGGTGTGCATGTAGCTTCCAGGTAGATAGAATCCATTGCAAAGATGTGAGGAGAAAATTGTGTAAGTGAAAAGAAGCCAGTAACTGTAAGTTCCTCTTGAGATCAATGACATAGCCATTGGTCTTAAGGAACACCAGAATGATATCTTAATCAAAGCCACAAATGTAGTCAGATCTATCACAAAACCTATAAGATATACAGAAATTGATAGTCAGATGAGTAGATGACAGATATCTTTTTGTTATAATCATATCTACAAGCATTTAGCAAATAGCAACTATGGAAATGTTCAGTCTTCACATATAGAACCAAATTAGAATTGAAATGTAATCACTAATCACATACTAAGATATTGAGTAAAAAAAAAGATCAGTATTTCTTGTGTAAAGAATTCAGTGGTGTCATTTTCTATGAGAATAAACTAGATATGGAAAGAAAAAAAAAAAAAAAAAATAGACCTTGAGAATTTTTCCTTTTAAAGTAATGAATTATCCAGCAAACAAGCACTTACAGCAGCAGTCGCAAGCAGATAAGACTAAACATCAGGCGTATTAATTCTAAATACCAAATCAGTTCAATTAGTTGATACATCATACATGGCTCTGTTCCATAGACGATGATAAATGTGTTCTTACATTTCGGAACGAATACAAATCACAAATGCTTACAGCTTCGTCTGAAAATTGTGTACGATTGATAATAAATTCACATTTAGAAGCTGAATCGAGTAGTTAGAAAATGAACATAGAGGCATTCATACTCAAAATTCATATCGACAGATCTAACTGATTCCGAACTTGAAAAGTAAAATTAAACGAATCTGGAGTAGTAATAGATAGGTCAAGAACTCCAATGGTATCGAAATCGTGGACAATAACACAAAGGTGCAAAAAAACCTAGTTCATTCTACTTCCGGGCGAATAATTGCATAAACATGTGCTGTGAAAAAACGGAGTAGGAGATGGAGTGATAAAAATGCACCATTTGTAGATCAGGAAAGCTCATAGCAATTACACCGCAGGTGAGGTTGAACTCTTCCTTAGGGTTTAATGACGAAGACGATGATTGTAAAGGGAGGGAATGAACTATGGTCGGTGTAACTGTGTTTTCTAGATGAGATCTATTTTTATTTTTTTTTTGTTTCGTGTGTAACGTCGTGTATGTTTAATACTAGGTGCGAGATTTATGTATTACATTGGTTTATTTAAAAAGAATTAAATATGAAATTTTAACAATTTAAAAAGTTTGAATTTATAAGAAAAATAAGAAAAATTTTAAATTATTAAAATTAATAAGGTTTTAATGTATTGAATACATTACATATATAAACCCTTTCTAATACATCCCTTATATATATTACCTTACATATTAAATGTGGAATTTTAATTTAATAAAATGAAAAATACAATAAAATAACAAGTGGAAAATTAAAAATTTAAAAATTCTAAAAAATATCATGTGTCCAAATTAATGATAAGAAGACATGTGGCAAAAAACCTTCATTTATTATAATATTAGGTTAAAACCCGTGTGATACACGGATTGACAAATTAAAATACCAAAACTAATACATAATAAGTGGTTTGCAATAAAAAAAAAAAGCAACAATATTCAAATCTAATTGGATGGCATGCTATAGTTTGGTAATTTTTTAAAATACAATGTTACAACAGGAAAAAATAAAAGTGTGATGCTATAATAAATAAATCAACAAAAATACATTGTCATTTCTTGTCAATTATATAATGTCTTAATGAAGAAAATAATAATAAGAAAAATTATGATTCAATTTGAGTCTTAAAGAAGTCATGGCTAAATAACTTGAGAACCTAAAAAGATGCAACAAACTTTAGCAAGCAACTCTTAAATGCATAGCACCAACCAACACTTTAACAATGAGACTGACTGGGAATTATGAAGCAATCATCACAACAGCCCCAATGGCATTGAGCGTCAGAAGACATTTGTAGAGACACAAGTATGATGCTATAATTGTGTATATTTCACAATACATTGTTGTAATACACAATCAATTTTTTTACATTGTTATTTTTTTGAATATAGATTAAAAATGATTTAACGCAAAATGTACTGTGCAGTGGAAACTATGGATAAGAAAAAAATATTGATAATTAAAAATCAAAAGATATATAAAATTTTATTAAATTAATAAGATATAAGTTTTTTTGTCTAAATTTTTAATTGTCTAAATCATTGAGTGTTCTATTTGAGTTTCACAACTATCAATACAATATTTCAACTTACTCCTAATGTGTCCAATTGTCCACAACTCCTAAATTTCTTAATGGCCTTATAAAACCTTAGCTAAATCACGAATATGCAAGAAGTCACAACTGTGCATGAACATTCAAATGTTCCCAATTTTTAAAATTAAAACACATGATGTTTTCTTACTGTGGTCCTATAATTAACAGAAATGCTTTAATAACACATGACAGTAAACCCTCCAATGTTAATACATGTACATTAAACATATATGATGAAAGGAGAAATAAGTACTTGCAGAATGAATATCTCCAAACAGCAAAATACGTATATTTTTCACATGGATAGTGACTGTAAAAAAACCCGTTAACCTATGCCACATCATGTAGATAATTTATGTCTAACATGCAACCAACCAGATATAAAAATTAAAATTAGTGATAAATATTGAGAAAACGACACTACTATTAATTCATTACTACTCAAAAAGATAAATACTTTTTGTTTGTTTAGGTCCTGAGTTATTTAGTACTAAGAAAACAAATTTCAAGGTACCAATTACAAAAGGAAAAAAAACATTATGTTGTCAAGGGAATATAATATAGGAAATGTATTTGTAATTCTTGGGTTTCATATCTATCAATATGGTGTCAAGGGAATGTGATTACCAAATACAAAAGGTAAAAATCTCTGAGGCCGTCTAAGTTTTGATAAAATATATAATTATTTAGTAATTAACATGACAAAATAAATAATAATAACAATAAAAAACTCTAACAAAATATCAACTTTTTATACCTGAATGGCTACCAAGTATCTTCTTATCCGTTGTTTTAGCCAAAGATACTACATGTGGTATAATCAGTCAAAAATTCTTAATACACAATTTAAAAAAAAATAATAATAATAAGTAAATGCTTATGCCTAAAATATCATTTTTTGGTTTAAGGGATTTCTAACCTTTAACACCAAGATTCACCAGCCTATTTAAATGACTATTTAACTTTACCTTGACCACCACCATGTTTAATTGTTTATCAATCTTTGATATTTCTAGTGAGAAAAAAAAATATTTATAATTCGAAATCTTAAAAACTAATAAATATTTTTGATTTTTTTTATTAATTTACCCATTACAACTACATACATTTCTTAATTGATAATAGCGTGTAGTTTCATTTTTTTTTCCTTTCAAAGTACATTGCTATAATTGGTCAATTTGGTCATTTTGACATATTTTTTTTTTCTTTTTTGTCATGTGGACCTCTTAATTACTATAAAAAAAGAACCTCTTACTAATATGAAACTCTCGGAAAAAATGGCATAATTTATCATTTCTTATGTTAATTTGGCTGACTTAAACTGAAAAAAAAAAAAAAAAAAAAAAAAAACAATGTAATGATATGAAACTTTTAAAACAGAAAATAGAATTTATAAATGTTATTTTATTTTTTCAAGTGTTCAGGTTAGTAACCTAGTTTCAAATAATGTATTACCATTTTTGACTTTGAAAAGATTTAACAAATCACATTTGTTATTCTTGTCTCCATTTCATGATACACACAACTTTGAGCAATTTGCGATTAACTTTACAAATGAGAATTTGCAGCAACATTTCAACCAGATAATTATTTTTAAAATAACTAACTATTAGCATGAGTTGTTTGAACAACGACATGCCTTTAAGATAGAGCAAAAAGAATAAAAAGAAAGGCTATCAATTGGAGTTACATTTAATTTGTTGATACCCAAGATGTTCTAGATCTCATCGAAAAGGTATAGTCACTTTCAACTACATTTATTTATATTTTTCATTATTTCAACCATAAAACTCTAAAGTTGTATCAATATTGCAGAAACCTGGTAGTATCATTGCTTATCTTGATGAAACTTGGTATAATAATAATATTAATTATAAGCTAGTGCAGATTTAAGATGTCTTTGTTATACACAACAACAATAGACAAATAAACCACACAACAGCAACATAGAAATCATTATCAGACACAACTTAAGAAAAATATTTACCTGATGGCAGATGATACTTGGATTACTTACTTTGAAAATACGAATGTTACCAGAATTAGGGAGATCGTGGTAAATTAAATTCAGATGATATTTGGATGATTTTGACCCTTTCTTTCCTATCTGTAGAATTAAATTCAATTTTGGTCAAAAAAAGGCTATCGAACTCAGAACAGGTGCCAAGGCGGCCGGAAGTTCCCCATCCTCAATCCTCATGAATACACACTTTCGTTACCTTCTCGGATAATATAAAATCAAATCCGTACATTAGATACAATTTAACACTAGTAATGAATAGAGATACAAGTTGTAGATGAGGTTTCATTACCAGTGAAGTTGAAGAAGAAAGTGCACAATCAAAACTGATATACCGAGAACCCCAAATGTACGCACATCCAGCACTCGAGCATATAATATTGAGAACGATATAGATTTCCATATGATGTTTCTGAAAATCAAAAGCCTGCATTTAGGGATGAGCATATGGACCGGGGAACCGGCCGGAACCGGAACCGGCACCGGAACCGGAACCCGATGGAACCGGTCGGGCCGGGACCGGGACATTATTTTTGTGGATTTTTGGAACCGGGAACCGGTAGGAACCGGAACCGATATAACCGGAACCGGCAAAAACCGGAACCGTATGATGCTATTTTTCAAGGATCGGTTCCAACATTTGAAGACATGACAAGAACCGGTAGGAACCGGGAACCGGTGGAACCGGAACCGGTAGAACCGCCGGGCCGGTTCGGTTCTTAATTTTGACCAAAGCCGGTTCCCGGTTCCGGTCCGGTTCGGGCCGGTTCCGACCGGTTCGGTTCTTTTGCTCATCCCTACCTGCATTGAAAAGCAAAATTGGGAGAGCCAAAACCGGAAGAAGCCTAATCTAAACAAAAGTATAGAGATATATTTTTGGAATGAAGCGGCTGATTTTTTATACCTAGGGTTACAAAAAGAGAATAAGGAGCTAGAATTAATGGATTGCCATGGAATTAAATCCGATCTAGCTAATCAATGAGTGCTGATTTTTCAGAATGGAGAAATGTTTAGGGATTTGACATGTTTTAAAATTTCAATCACTAATTTGGTTTCCAAAAGTATTGGCGAAATTGGAGAAGAAACGGTCGAACAATAGGAACAATAGAAGATTTCCTAATTTCTTGCTGAATTTTTTGGATACTATCGATTCGATTAGTCATAATATGTTTGACTTTAAGGGAAACTGTGGAATTTCAGTTTGAAGTTTTGAGCGGGAAAATTAGTTTGGGGAGGCCCTTAGCAATTGACACTTGGCAAAAATCTACTTATTTATTAGATTAGGGGATTCATTTATTATAATAGATTCTTTTGAGACATTATAATTTATAAATTTTTTTTTCTGTTGATTTGTTAATTCGGTTGGTGATCGATATTATTTTTTATATAGATTATTTATGTAGTTTATGTGGAACATATATATGACCATTGTTGTAAATTCATTGTTAGAAAGGGTTAGGAATGGGCCATTGCTGTAAATTCGGTATTATTGGTATATTTTTGTAATTCAGTTTGTCATTGAATTTTCAGTTGGTAATCAATGTATTATCGATATTATTTTTGTATGTAGGGTCATTTATGTAGTTTCCATGGAACATATGGACCATTGTTGTAAAATCGTTATTAGAAGGTGTCTCTTTTATTTCGTTTTTAGGAACGGACATTTGTGTAATATTATGAAATACAATGACTGTTTCGGTAATTCTATTTTTTTCAATTTTGTAAATCGGGCCATTTATTTAGTTTTATGGAACATATGGACTGCAGTTTTGTGAAATATCTGGGCCTTTATGTAGTTTTATGAAAGACTTGTGAAATAGACCGATAAATATAAGGATAGGTATAATTAACCATTTTTATCAAATTATATTATGAGATTTCGATGATAAAATTAAAATGGTTGGTTATTGCCATGCATGAAAAACCAAGGATTATAGTCATTGTTTCTACATAAACATGATTAAATGACACCTAAAGTTGGATTATGTTGGGTACATAATAGTTGCCTAACAACGCATAGACGAACGGTCCGATCCAACAAAGCAAAAAATTCTGATATGTACATGAATATATATACTTCAAAGTTTTATGTTCTCATAATAATTATCCTTAGTGTTAGATGATTCACAATATGTATGTTTATACATAATCATCCCTCATGGTGTAAGTAGTCAAGAACTAAAGATGCAATTTATTCATCCTATAGAAAAGATGTCTTTAGGGTCCTTTGTTGATTGAAACCAAAGAAAATGCATGGATGTGCTCAATGATAGTGAAACTTGTATTAAATATTCAACTTAGTTTGAGAAACATAATCATTTATGCTCAACATCCGAAATTGCACATATCAAGGGAAACTTAGTGACTTGACTAAATTCCACCATTAAGTATGTTTGTTAGGCCATCGGGTATGGGAGTATCTTTGTGCGTAAGGATCTAGGTGGAGGGGTTGTTCACACGTGAACACCGCTCCCAATGGGAGTAAGTGTGGTGCGGATTGGGGCTCGTCAGGGACCTTCACCGATGATTTGATTGGCTATGCGAATTTCGACGGTTTGGGGCATTCAATTTGGGACCTTTAGCATTAATAATAATAATAATAATAATAATAATAATAATAATAATATTTCTTTTTTAATTTCAAACATCACCTATATACAGCCTATCATAATTCAAAGATCGTTTTCGTATTAGTAAAAATTTATTCTTACATATAGCTAGAGATTTGACAAACAAAATTATGAGTTTTTTCAATTGAAATAGGATGCTAAAGGTAAGCGTGGTTTTACTACATTTCAAAAACAAACAACAACTCTTAGACAATTGGCACACAAAATAACCGTAGACGCTTCAAATGAATATTTGAAAATGTCTGTGCGAGCGAGTCGAGAATGTTAATATCTTTTTTGTGAGTATGTTATAGAGCTTTGTAGTGACATATACTTGTGAAATCCGACTAAAAGTGATGTTGAACAGTTGTATGACACACATGAAGCTAAAGACGGATTTCCAGGAATGCTTGGTAATCTTCATTGTACACATTGGGTGTGAGAAAATTGTCCCAATGCATGGTGAGGTCAATTCACGCAAGGGGATCATGGCGTGCCGACCGTTATACTAGAAGCAGTTGTTTCACATGACACATGTTTTGGAATGCATTCTTTGGTATAACGGGGTCAAACAACGACCTGGATATGCTTGGAGCATCTCTGTTATTTAATGACATTTTGTGGGGTAAAGAACCAAATTTGTCATACGTCATAAATGGAAATGAATATAAATATGGGTATTACCTTGGTGATAGGATATATCAAAAGTACGCTACGTTTGTCAAGTCATACTCATATCTATGCGATGAAAAACGAAAATTTCAAGTTAGCATAAGTATCTGCAAGGAAGGATGTGAAATGGGCATTTGGAGTCCTCAAACAAAAGTGACACCTAATCAAACATCAGACACGATCATGGGATACAGCAAAAATGTTGAATGTGATGAAAGCTTGTGTTATTTTGCATAACATGATAATAGAAGAAGAGGGTATGTCTATTTGTACGTATAGTCCGAACGATATACTTAATCCACCTGTAGTAATACAAGTCGACAGTCCAGCATACTTCACAAGGCTTTTAGAAATACAAAACAACGAAACACATCACAATCTACGTCACGATTTAATTGATCACACACGGTAGAGACAATTCAAACAACACAATAACAACAACGACGACGAGGATGACGACGTGGATGATGAGAACAACGAGGACAACAATGACAACGAACAGTATTTTCTATGTTTCTTATGTTTTTTTTAATAATTTAAGTTTTCAATTTGTTTTTTTTTTTTTTATGTTTTTTTAGTAATTTAGTTTTTTAAATTTCTATGTTTTTAAGTAATGTTTTTTAATTTTGTTTTTAACTAATGTAATGGCAAAAAAAAAAAAAAAGATAAATAACATATAGTTGTAACCATTTTCAAGAGTTAGGAACATGTAGTGGAGATGATGTGGTGCATATATGACATCACTTTTCTAATGAACATCTTGTATCACTTTTCTAATGAATATATTGTGATCGGACCATAGTCTTATTAAATTTCACATGTGACTTTACATTCATGTGGTTTGGGTAGGAAAAGGATGCATTGCAACTTGCAATATAATATCATTTTTTTTTCTTGCATTATTGGACTTGATGTATTGTACAGATGGAACATTGTGAGAGTATAGGCATAAGAAAAACTTGCAATCATTATCACTATTGCCATTTGAATTTGGATCGTACAGCTAGAACAAGTAGTAAAGGATTTCAATGGATTAATACTATGACAAATATGACACCTTAAAATTGTTCTAAGAAACTAATATCTAAAGAATACAAATGTTGCAAGCTTGAAAGGGACCAAATTGGGCCTTTCTAGGACTGGCACAATTCCCACCTTCTACCTTCCATAGGGAAAGCCTACCATGGTGGCATGGTGCGAGGAAATATGGCTTAACCCTTATGGCTTATGGTATCATATTCAAAGGATGATTTACCCATGATTAAATTTGATATTGTAAATGTTTTTTCTTAAGGTTTTAAGATATGTCATAGCCGTTCTTGTGACGGTGATTAGTCCATTAAGTCATCACTTAATCATAATTCTTTCATGCAGACAATATGTGTGATATCGTTAAAGGGGAGCTATTTTGGTTTTTACACCACATGTAGAATTTAACTCTACATCAACCATAATGCACCTCAATGTAAAATTGTAAATATCTCCCTAAAAACCATAGACCCCAACAATCAAATTTAGACAACTATATAACAAATATGTCCAGCCACAAATACTTTGCCGAACTTGTATTTTTTTTTATTAGAATTGCATGTTGTTTTATGGTACATTAGACAACTTGGAATTTTCTCGTTGTATTTTACCGTATGTAAAAAAGAAGTGTTACGTATGGGCTTAAAATTGAAAAGGTCAGAGAAATCAAATACTTAATCGGTTTACCAATAATGATCTTCGATGCAACATTGTTGGTAACTAACGTATAAGTATGATGCTTTTTTACCTCAAAAGGAACACGATCACATTTGCAATCTAAAAAACTCATTGAGCTGTGGAGCATGATCTTTCCTTTGACATCACAGTAAAATGAAACATATTTAGATGAAGTATCATCTCATTAACAATTTGATAAGTAGAGTACTCTAAACTTGAAGAAGATCGTTGATTCAAAGAATCAAGCTAACAAGTTTACCATGTTAATGAAGATAGAGAAGTTGAAGTAATTTATGGGCTATAGGCTAGATTTGTACTTGATTATCTCTTGTCTTTAATTTCTTGTTGTAATGAGCTTTTAGTAGTTTCAAGAAAAAGAAAACTATAAAGAGTAAAAATCAGTTTTTGGCTACAGCATACAACCCCTATTTTCCAGCCCCAAAAACCATGTTTGGCTCACTGATTTGAGCATACAAACGATCCTATATTTTCCAACACAAGAATATAATGTAAGTAGGGTTTATTTAGTAGCAACAAGGTTTCCGTTATATATCATTAATTTTGTTACAAATTAATAATAGTATTCCGAAGAAATAGATCTGCACATGATATTACATATGATATAGGAAAGAAAATGGAGAGTCTAGTGGAACTTGAGGCTAGTCAAGACATTGTTGTTGACAGGATCAGCCAAATGATCCAGAAGGTTCTCGAAAGGTCCAACCCCGGTCACCAAACCCTGAATGAAGTAACCCAAGATTGCTAACATAGCCAATCTTCCATTCTTGATTTCTTTTAGCTTCAGTTCCTTCATTGACTTCTCATCTTTCCCGAACCCAAGTGGGTTAAAGAACGGCCCACCTGGGTATGCCGGGTCACCCGACCCTGAAAAACCTTTCTCCAACCCCAAGAAGTATTGCTTCCCCATTGACCCTGGGTTATACCAGTCTTGGAGTCTTCTATGCTCTGCGAAACCCATCAACGCCATTTCCAATACAAATAGGGTGAAAGGGTCTGCCCAGTAGTTGTATGTTCCGGCTGGGGGAATGACACCGGTCTTGAACCAAGGGAGGGCGGTTTCCGGTGGGATGAGCCCAAGCTTGCCGAAGATCTCTGGTGCAATGGCGCCAGCTGCACCCAACATGGCGAAACGTCCATTGATAACCTCGCCGTATGCTAGCCACTTGGGTTCGATGAATCCTCCGGTTCCTTCTGGGTCTGAGAGACCAAGTGGGTCGAACCCAAAGTCGCCTGGGAGACTGTAAAATTCAAAGTCTCAGGTGAAAAAGAACTTGTTTGATCAAGACTTCTTTGCTTTCTAGTTGTTATATTATATACTATTTATTTATTCTAAAAAACCACTACAATTCATGCTATTCTTTTAAGTTAGTAACACTTATATTTGACTTCAAAAGAAAAACTGTATCTTTCTTTTGTTGGAACGATGAAATTACCTTCCATCAAGGTAAGAGAGAGATTGCTTGGATGCAAACCACAACTGTCTGTTAGCTCCTTGCTGGTAGACATACGATAACCCATCAAGTCATGATCAAACTCACACACAAATATGAGGAAGAACACATCATAACACCAAAAACCCATGTCATAGAACATCATTCGACAACAATTGATCTAATTTTATTCAGTAATATATAGGAGAAAGGGGTACCTTAACAGGAGGGGTGGAAGCAGCTTTGACAACAAAGGAGACCTTTCTTGAAGATGTTGTGTGAAGTGGCCTGGCTGCTAGGATTTGCCTAGCAGACTCCACGGAGGAGGTGAGCGAAGACGATGAGACCAAAGCCTGTGTAGCCATTTTCCTTGAGAAGATTAGATGATCGTGTGTGGCTGCATTAGGAGAAGGGAGAGGGGAAACATAAGGGGAGGGTGAAGGGTGTGGGGTAGGTGAGTTTGTGGTTTGTGTTGAGGCAACCTGAATTCGGAGATGAGGTTTGGGATCTTTTGTTCCAATGAGGTTAGCACATGTGGCATGTCTTACTTGGATAAGAGATTTTTATCTAACTTCTTGTTTGTACACATTACTTATTACTTTCGTGGCCTTCGATTGTTTGGTCAAGTGGTCATATGGGAATCTTACAGTGTCTGGGTATGAATTTTATACTTATGTTACATAAGTTATGTATATTGCCTTTTAAATTTGCCAGCCTTGTACATGTTCGACAAATTTTAATTAATTTATATCTATGATTAAAGAGTAATAGATGGTTCAAACTTGTTTAAGATAATCTAAAGGTCATAAACCGATTGAGATGTTTGATTTTTCTCAATATGTTTTCTTTTAGGTCAAAATCAGAAAACCACAACAGATTGCACATGTATATATATAAAAAAACTTGGGAAAATGATTTAAAAGACCAACTGACTTTCCAAATCATTCAAAAAACACAAATTATGTTTTGATCGTTTAGTAAACAACAATGAAATTAATGTTTTGTCTAAAAAAATCAAACTAAGCTACTATTTTTTTCAATTGTCGTTAAAGGTAATTGGCATCTGTTGATTAAATGTTTTTGTTTACTGGATTAATAAAAATCAACCAAGTTAAAAGATGACATGACTTATTCTTTTTATTATGTGGAATTAAAAATACCACACACTCACTAGAATTACCCAACGAATGTGAAATTGGAACCCACACACTCACTAAAATTACCTAACGAAGTGAAATTGGAACGGAACAAAGGCGATGTAGGGTTATTGCAAGAGGTGAAATCGTTTTCTACACAAGGGTGAAATCGTTTTCTACACCAGTGTGAAATTGTTTCTACACAAGGTGAATGTGAAATTGGTTTTACAGAAGGTGAAAGAGTGTTCGATGAGTGTGCAACAAGCATGTCAACAGATGGTGACTCCCTTAACATTGATGTCTACCACAAAGGTATTTTTTCTCCTAACCCCGTCGTTTACTTCCATCCTCAAAAAGTATCTGTTATGGAGCTAGATTTACGTAACATGAATTTCAAGGAGTTCAAGACCTACATCTGAAAATTGATCAACAATAGATGTCGGGATATTACTGTCTTAGAAATCAATTCCTCTTAAATGGGTTGAAAGAGCTCAGGGATGAAGATGATTACGTAAGGTTCCTTGATGTTGGGTTTAATGATGACAATAATCAAACCAACATCTACATTGATGACTATCACGAGCCCATACTAGATTGGATTGAAGAAGAGAAAGTTGGAGAAGGGGACAATTGTAATGATACATGTGAAGATGACGTGGACTTGGTATTGTTAGATGATCTATCGGTGGACCATGAAGCTGATGATGAGGACATCCAGTGGTCGGAATATATTAAGCTTTTTTGTCCAAGACAAATCTTATTATAGATGGAGGGATGGAAGAAGAAGTTGTTGCTAAGGTAAAAAAACAAAACATCCTATTCATGATCCTAACCAAAAATGGGAGATATGAAGCCTAAATTAGGTATAAGATTCTCTAATCGAGATGAACTGAAACACGTGTTAACAAATTATGCTGTGTCTAAGGGTTATGCATTGTGGTATGAAAAAAATAAGTCAACTAAGTTGTTAGAATATGCATTACTCCCATGAATAAAGAGCATTCATTTAAGAGAAAGTCACTAATTGATTAACATAATTTTACTAGAAAACAAAAATTAGGGTATCTTGTCACTTATAAGTGAATTGGAAAATTTTTAATACTTGACATTTTGGAAATGCCTCGTTTTAGCTATAGAAAAATAACAGAAGTAGTTAGGAAAAACATTGGTCTGAAGGTAAGTCTTGGGTAGTGTAGAAATGCCAAGTACTATGCACTAGATGAGATTTCAGGCAGTTTGGTAACTAATTATGAGAAATTGTGGTCTTATGGTGCTGAGTTATTGAGAGTTAATGTTAGTTCAACAGTCATAATTGATACAAATCATATGCATAATGCTACACACTACTTCAAAAGGATGTATGTTTTCCTGAAGCCTGTCAAGGATGGCTGGATTAAAGGATGTAGAAGGGTGATCGGTGTTGATGGCTATTTTTTGAAGGGTATTTGTAGAGGTGAGTTGTTAACAGCTGTTGGCAGGGACGCAAACAACCAAATGTACCCTCTGGCATGGGCTGTTGTGCCAGTAGAAAACAAGGAAACTTGGGAGTTGTTCATAGATCTTCTACTTCAGGATATTGAGATGGGAGATGGTACGATTCTTACCATTATTTTGGACCAGCATAAGGTGTGTTTTAGTTTACTTTTGCTTAGTAATTTATATATTTGTTTATGTAATTTAAAAATATAATATTTTCACCTTGTAGGGTTTGATGGTGGCTGTTAGAGAAAGGGAACCATCATGTGGGCATAGGAATTATGCCCGACACATTTTCTCTAACTTTAAGAAGAAAAGGGTTCATGGTTGTCAAGTTTAGGAAGATAATTTGGAGAGCTTTCAAGGCTACAACTAACTCTACTTTGCGCTCTTACATGAGGGAAATTTGTGCAATGACCATAGAAGCTTATAAACACCTGATAAAAAAGACCCGAATACATGGTGTAGGGCATTCTTTGAACCCGAGACGTGTTATGATGTCATGTAGAATACTATATCTAAATCTTTCAATGAAACATTCGTAGAAGCCTAGAAGAAACCCATAATAAAAAATGCTAGAAGAAATCAGGGTGTACATGATGGAAAGGATGTACAACCAAAAGTTAAAAGGAAAAAGTAGGACTTCGAAATCTACCCCTCCATTAGAAAGAGGATTAAGGACATAATAGAACACCAAAGGTATGGTAGATTCTTGAATTGTAAGTGACTTAATATGATATAACTTACTTTTTTACATGATTTCATAACAGGTATTAGGATGTTGTTCCAAATGGTGAGCAAGAATATGAAGTGAAATTAGCCCACGAAGTTTACACAGTTCACCTTGAGCACAAAACATAGGGTTGCAGAGCCTGGCAACTCAGTGGTATACCTTGTGTGTATGTCGTTGCTGCAATGTTGTACATGAATGGAAATGCAGATGAGTATGTAGCTGTGTGGTTTAAAACAAGCATGTTTAGAAGTTTCTATAGATATCCAATCAAACTAATTAATGGAGCTAACATGTGGCTTGTTGTTCAATGTGATCCCATATTACCACCTAAGCATAGGAGAATGCCCTAGAGGCTGAAAGTTAACATAAGGAAATGTCATATAGAGAATGAAGGAAGGCATACAATTAAAAAGAAAGGATATCTATTAATAGATAAGGTAATAGTCATCAAGAAGGACACAACAAGAGGCAATATTCGTTGCTCACAGAAGGTTGATTTGTATTTTCATTGTTTATTCATCTACATTTCTGTAATATTATATTTATTTGTTTTAAAATGCAGAAGTTCATGTGCACAATGAAGGACCAACTGTTGCTGAAGAAGGTGATGGAGATTATATTGAAAGTAATGTTGATGTTCAAGAAGATGGTGAGGAAGCTATTGGGGATCAAGATGAAAGTGATGTTGATGTTTAAGATGTTGGGTTATTTAATAGATTGTATCAAATTTTATTATGTATGTAGTTAGCCTTTTTACGGGCTGGGCATGTTCATCCGTCTTGATTTTGCTAGGGTTAGAATTTAAATACTACATGGATGTATTGTATTAGGGTTAATCATTTTGTGATTCCCTACCGTTCCTTTACAGTAGAAGTTCTTCATCGAGCTCTTCTAAGGCATTTATTAATCATTCGACACCATTTTGCTCATTGCATTCATTGTTTGATTTACTTTTCTGTTTAGAATCCTTCGATCAACTCTTGATTTATTCTAACAATTGGTATCATAGCGGGAGCTTGTGGAAATCATATGCAGTTCTTTTGTCGAGTGTTCTAGGGTTTTTCTGCTTTTATTAGATCTATTCCTGTCGTCTTCATCGTTTTGATCTATTTTTGATGTCGGATCGTGATCCTTATTACGCCCTCAACTCAATTTTAATTTTACACATCTGATTTGTAACGCTGTAAAATTTCAAACAAATTTTCACATTTTAAGAACAATTTAATTCACAATATTATAAAACATATTATTTCATATATTCAAACATAATTCAAAAATCCCAAGATCATAACGTATAAATAAAACTTCGTGTGTGTGTACTGATCATGTCGGCGCCTTCTCGCGATCCTCACTAGTACCTGGAACACATAACACAAAACACTGTAAGCACGAAGCTTAGTGAGTTCCCCAAAATACCACACATAACACATACTAGCCACTCGAGGCTATAACTCTATGGGCTCTTGGACCCTAACTCTGTGGACCTTTTAGTCCTAACTCTGTGAACCTTCCAGTTCTAACTCTGATATACGCATGACATAAATCACATAGAAATAATATAGTGCAACTCATCACATAAATAGCATACAATAACTCTGTCACATAACTCTAATTACCACTCAAGGTAAAGTATAGTGAGAAGACTCACCTCGGATGTCTTGGTAATATCTCGCTCGCGTAAAACTGATCTAGCCTTTGCCTAAACACATAAACGATCATCTCAATCAATAACGGCTATCCAGGCTAGACTAGATCCTCACATATCCTCTAAGAAGGCTAAAAGACCATTTTACCCTTCAAACAGTCCACAAGTCCAATTGTTGACCAAACCCTAAAAGTCAACAAAAGTCAACGGTCAAACCTTTGACCAGACTCATCGAGTGCACAAATGTGACTCGACGAATCCATGTGTACCCTCCTCACCCCTGGTCCTCACTTGACTCACTGGGGCAACCCTCCACTCTTTGAAATCACCTTTGGTTGTGAATTGCGGGACAACCCGACCCAACTCGTCGAGTTCAGTCATGAACTTAGGTCCTCTAAATCCCCTCTGACTCACTGATTCATTTCCCCAACTTAACGAGTCACCAACTGTGTGATTCATGGAGAAAACTAATCCTAATCACCGAGTCTGTTCTTGGACTCGGCGAGTTCATGCCATGCTCAAACTCAAATGACCTCCTGAGGTCAGATCTGTTCCTCTAATCCATAGATCTGACCTTCCCAAGCATGATCATTACGTAAAGTTCAGATCTTGATGCTCATGCAAAGGCCTAAAGGCTCTATCTGGAGAAATAACCTCAAGTATGACATCCTAAGCTCATGTATCCTAATATTAATCATAAAGATCAAAGGGTTAAGGTATCTGGACCTTTTTGAATCCAGATCCAAAGCCTCAATACGAGAAGGCACCAAATGCTCATCCAATCAAGCCTCTAAAGGGTCTAGAAAACCCTAACTCCAAAGGTTAACACCAAAACTGAAGAAGGATCGAATCTATACCTCAAATATGAAGTACCTAGGCTCTGAAATCTACAGAATAGCACCCTCTTCAGCTCCCTCTTTCCTTGGTCACCTTCTTCTTGCAAGAACACCAACACAAAGATCAAAAATGGCCTATCCTCCCTTACAAACGTTCTAACTCTCTTAGGGTTTCTCTCAAGGGTGTGGTAGCCGCAACTGAAGGCTATAATAGCCTTTAATTAGATCCTAAACCCGAGAAATTAGGTTTTCACTTAACAGCGTGGACTCGTCGAGTCCACGAGTCGACTCGTCGAGTCCGGTCACCAATCCGGATAAGAACCCGCGGTCCTACTCGGCGAGTCTAAGCATCAACTCGCTGAGTTCCTCCCCAAACTCAAAATAAATGAATAAAATAATATACCTGAAAATATGGATGTTACAATTCTCCCCCACTAGAATCAGACTTCATCCTCGAAGTCTCACTCCGCAAACAACTCTGGATGTTGCTCACGCATCTCTCGCTCCGGCTCCCAAGACAGCTCGAACCCTCTCCGATGTTGCCACTGGACCTGCACCAAGAGCACATCCGTGTTCCTCAGAACCTTGATCTTCCGATCCATAATTGCAACTGGTCTCTCAACGTAGTTCAGACTCGCATCCACCTTGATATCCTCTAATGGTACCACCGCCGACTCATCGGCCACACACTTCCTCAACTGCGATACGTGAAAGGTGTCATGAATCTGACCTAACTCCGTAGGTAGCTCCAACCGGTATGCTACCCTACCTACTCTTGCGTTCACCCTGAATGGACCAATATATCGGGGCCCTAACTTACCCCTCTTCCTAAATCGGATCATTCCTTTCCAAGGAGATACCTTCAGGAGAACGAAGTCACCAACTTGAAACTCGAGCTCCGAACGACGCCTATCTGCATAGTTCTTCTGACAACTCTAAGATATCAACCATCTCTTCTTGACCTGAATCTGCTCAGTCATCTGAAGCACTATCTATGTGCTGCCCATCACACGTTGCCCGACCTCTCCCCAAAAAATAGAGGTCTGACACCTCCTCCCATATAATAACTCGAAGGG